AAAGAAATTAAAGAGGATACCAGAAAATGGAAGGATCTCCCATGCTCTTGGATAGGGAGGATCAACATAGTAAAAATGGCAATTCTACCAAAAACAATCTATAGATTCAATGCAATCCCCATCAAAATTCCAACAAAATTCTTCACAGACATTGAGAGAACAATAATCAACTTTATATAGCAAAACAAAAATCCCAGGATAGCCAAAACAATCCTATACAATAAAAGTACTTCTGGAGGTATAACCATCCCTGACTTCAAACTCTATTACAGAGCTACAGTAATGAAAACAGCTGCATATTGTCACAAAAACAGAGATGTTGACCAATAGAATCGAATTGAAGACCCAGATATTAATCCACAAACCTATGAACACCTGATTTTTGACAAAGTAGCTAAAATTTACAACAGAAGAAAGAAAGTATCTTTAACAAATGGTGCTGGCATAACTGGAGGTCAACCTGTAGAAGAATGAAAGTAGATCCATATCTATCACCATGCACAAAACTAGTACAAATGGATTAAAGACCTCAATATTAATCTGACCACACTGAACCTGATAGAAGAGAAAGTGGGAAGTAATCTACAACACATGGGCACAGGAGACCACTTCCTAGGTAAAGCCCCAGTAGCACAGACAATAAGAGCAACAATGAATAAATGGGACCTCTTGAAACTGAGAAGCTTCTGTAAAGCAAAGAACACTGTCATTAAGACAAAAAGGAAACCTACTGAATGGGAGAAGATCTTCACCAACCCTGCATCAGACAAAGGCCTGATCTCCAAAATATATAAAGAACTCAAGAAACTAGACACTAAAACTCTAATTAACCGAATTAAAAAATGGGGTACTGAACTGAACAGAGAATTCTCAACAGAAGAAGTTCAAATGGCCAAAAGACACTTAAGATCATGCTCAACCTCCTTAGCAATCAGGAGGGAAATGCAAATCAAAACAACTTTGAGATACCATCTTGCAATTGTCTGAATAGCTAAAATCAAAAACACCAATGGTAGTCTATGCTGAATAAGATGTGGAGTAAGGGGAACACTCATCCATTGTTTGTAGGGATGCAAACTTGTGTAGCCACTTTGGAAATCAGTGTGGCGGTTTCTCAGTAAACTAGGAGTCAACCTCCCTCAGCACCCAGCAATTCCACTCTTTGGCATATACCCAAGAGACCAATGTATGTAGAGCCCAATCATACTACAAAAGCATTTGTTCAACTATGTTCTTACCAGCACTATTTGTAATAGCCAGAACCTGGAAACAGCCTAGGTGCCCCTCAATAGAAGAATGGATAAAGAACGTGTGGAATATATACACTTTAGAGTTTTACTCAGTGGTAAAAAACAATGACATCTTGAATTTTGCATGCAAATGGATAAACATAGAAAACACTTTACTGAGTGAGGTAAACCAGACCCAAAAAGAGGAATATGGTATGTAATCACTCATAAGTGGATTCTAGCCATAGTTAAAGGTCTTTGAGCCTATAATTTGTGATCCTAGAGAAGCTAAATAAGAAGGTGAACCCAAAGAAAATCATAATGTTATCCTCCTGGATATTGGAAGTAGACAAGATTGCCAGGCAAAAGTTGGGTGCACAGGGTGGGTAGGTGTAAGGGGAGATGGGTAGAGAGAAGGGAGAAGGGGAGGATTGGGGAGAGCTTGGGAGAATGGAATGGGTGGGATGGAGGAAGGTTGGATATGGGAGCAGGGAAGTAAACATCTTAATTAAGGGAGCCATTTTAGGGTCTGCATGAGACTTGACTCTAGAGGGGTTCTTAGTTCCAAGGATATGTCCCCAGCTTGTTCCTTGGACAGCAGAGGAGAGGGTGCCTTAACTGACTTTGTTCCATAGTCACACTGATGAATATCTTGCATATCACCATAGAACCTTCATCTGGCGATGGATGGAGATAGAGAGAGAGACTCACACTGGAGCACTGGACTGAGCTCCCAAGGTCCACATGAGGAGCAGAAGGACGAGAACATGAGCAAGGAAGTCAGGATTGCGAGGAGTGCGTCCACCCACTGAGACAGGGGGACTGATCTAATGGGATCTCACCAAGGCCAGCTGGACTGGGAGTGATGGAGCATGTGATCAAACCAGACTCTCTGAAAGTGGCTGTCAATGAAGGCTGACTTAGAAGCCAAGGAAAATGGCACTTGGATTATTCTACTGCATGGATTGGCTTTGTGGGAGCCTGGTTTGTTTGGATGCTTACCTTCATAGACCTGGATGGAGGGGGGAGGACCTTGGACTTCCCACGGGGCAGGGAACCCTGACTGCTCTTAGGACTGGGGAGGAAAGGAGTGGGGGAGGGGGTGGGAGAGGGGGAGGGAAAAGGGAGGTGGGGACAAGGTGGGAATTTTTAATAAATAAATAAATTTCAAAATAAAAAAGAGTAATCTGTTTGGTGGGCTTGGAAGATGAGTCACTGGTTAAAGGCACTAATATCTCTTGCAGAGGGCACGGATTTGATTCTTAGCATCCAAATGGCAGTTCACAACTATCTTTAACACCAATTCTGGGAAATATGATGTCCTCTTCTGGCCTACGAAGGCATTGCATGTGCATGGCACACAGGCACACATGAAGGAAAAACACTCATAAGCACATGGTAATACTATTTTTCCCGTTAGACTTGTTTATTCAAGTATCCGAAAACACTCTTTCCACTTCCTCGCCTCCTCCCATTACCCTCCCGCTCCCCCCACTCCCCCCCACTTCCTCTGCTCCTCCCTCACCATTCCCAAGAGCAGTCAAGGTTTCCTGCCCTGTGGGAAATCCAAGTTCCTTCCCCCTCCCTCCAGGTCCAGGAAGGTGAGCATCCAAACAGGCCAGGATCCCAAAAAGCCAGTCCATGCAGACTAAACAAGACCCAGTGCCATTGTCAATGGCTTCTCAGTCTTCATTTGGACCTTGGGGGCTCAGTCAGCCCCCATGTCAACCACATTCAGAGAATCCAGTTTGATCACATGCTCGTTCAGTCCCGGTCCAGCTGGCCTTGGTGAGCTCTCATTCGATCAGTCCCCTTGTATCAGTGGGTGAACGCACCCTTCACAGTCCTGACTTCCAGTGCTCCAATGTGGGTCTCTGTCTCTATCTCCATCCATCCTCGGATGAAGGCCCCCTCTGATTTTGCTTTCCTTGCTCATGATCTCCCTCCCTCTGCTTCTCATTTGGACCTAGGGAGTTAAGTCCAGTGTTCCAATATGTGTCTCTGTCTCTATCTCCATCCTTCGCCATATGAAGGTTCTGTGGTGACATGCATAATATTTATCAGTATGGTTATGGGCCAAGGCCAGTTCAGGCACCCTCTCCTCTGCTGCCCAGAGTACAATCTGAGGACCTCTCCTTAGGCCTGGGAACCCCTCTAGAATCAAGTCTCTTGTAAACCCTAAATTGGCTCCCTTAGTTGAGATATAAACTTCCCTGCTCCCATAAACTCAAAAACACCAATGATAGCCTATGCTGGAGAGGATGTGGAGTGAGAGGAACACTCATCCATTGTTGGTGGGAATGCAAACTTGTGCAGCCACTGTGGAAATCAGTGTGGCAGTTTCTCAGGAAACTGGGAGTCAACCTCCCTCAGGACCCAGCAATTCCACTCTTGGGAATATACCCAAGATATGCCCTATCATACTACAAAAGTATTTGTTCAACTATGTTCATAGCAGCACTATTTTAATAGCCAGAAAATGGAAACAACCTAGGTGCCCCTCAATAGAAGAATGGTTAAAAAAGGTGTGGAACATATACACATTAGACTTTTATTGAGTGGTAAAAAACAATGACATCTTGAATTTTGCATGCAAATGGATGGACATAGAAAACGCTTTACTGAGTGAGGTAACCCAGACCCAAAAAGCAGAATATGGTATGTACTCACTCATAAGTGGATTCTAGCCATAGTTAAAGGTCTTTGAGTCTATAATTTGTGATCCTAGAGAAAGCTAAATAAGAAGATAAACCTGAAGAAAATCATATAGTTATCCTCCTGGATATTAGAAGTAGGCAAGATTGCCAGGCAAACTTGGGTGCATGGGGGGTGGAGGGTGGAAGTAAGGGGAGATGGTTAGGGAGAGGGGAGAGGGGGAGGATTGGGGATGGCTTGAGGGAATGGGAGGGGGAGGGAGGAAAGATGGTTGTGGTAATACTATTTTTAAGTAATATGTTTCTATATCAATTGACAATGGATGGACATGTGATAGTCTATATTGATTTCTAATTTTGCAGGATCTAGAAGCACTGAGAGAACAAATCTCTGGGCGTTTCTGTTTAACTGATTTAATTAGCAGAGGTGGGAGAACTAGTCTAACTACCCAGCTGAATGAAAAGGAGAAAGGAAACTGATAATCAGAGTTCATTTCCTGTTTTTTTCCTAAATGCAGATGCAATGTGACCAGCTATCTTCCTGTTTCTTCCATTTCTTGTTTTGTTTTGTTTTACCAGACAGGGTTTCTCTTTATAATAGCCCTGACTGTTCTGGAACTCATTTTGTAGACCAGGCTGACATCAAACTCACAGCTTCTGTGTCCAGAGTGCTGGGATTAAAAAAGCATGTGCAACCACTACCCAGCTATTTCTTCCATTTCTGTTGCCATGTCTTCCCTGCTATGATGGAATGTATTCCCTAGAACTGTCAGTCAAAATAATCTCCTTAAATTGCTTCTTGCTGGTTATTTTGACACAGCTATGGGAAAAGTAGCTAATATAGAGTGGACAAGGTGGTGACTTGGGGAAATTGTGGAGTGTAATGTGATGACCATGGACTAACCAGAAGGAGATAGGTACAGACAGACCATTCAAGTACCTGAGAATAAAAAGTAAACAGATGTGTCTTGAAGAACCTTGATTCCGTGTGGTTAACAAGCAACTATGCTATACCAGGACTCACAAATTCTCTGTGTGATCCATGCTTCACCCTCTGCCTTCCTCTATTGTTACAGTTTTCCCATTGGGCAAAGATTAAATATACCACACACATCCATACAAGAATCAACAGTATTTAATCCCTGAGTAGCAACATGGACATATTGCTGTTCAGTCTGGTTCAGGCATAAGAGAAGCAAGATGACACTTAGTCATTAATGGGAGAAGGAAGGGATTCAGATGGATCTTGAGGCTTTGAAGATGAAGTACTAGCATCAGTGCTTGAAAGAACATGGCGTCTTCCCTTGTGATGACCCCAGGCACAGAGTATAGCACAATTGTCATCATCCTCTTTTTCACTTTCTGAGGAGCTCTCACCAAAGGCACGAGGCTTCTCATAAACACAGCAACATTTGGAAGAGCGACGGCCCAAGTGCTCATTATCAATAGTGTCACTTGACCACTCAACCCTCTTGCCTGGCTTTGCCTTCTCTAATGGGCTGGACAGATTGATATTTTTGAGCTCATCTTCCAGTTCAACTGTGGGCTCTGAGATGACTTCTGTCAGCTTGGATGTTGGCTCTTCCATAGCAGAATTGAAAGCAGGGCAGAGGAGAGGAATCGATGTTTTCAAGGAGCCTGAGGAAATAGGAATTTGAACACAGTCAGAGTCACAATTAGAATGTAATGTTACACTTGTTTTTGTCTTAACTTTCTCACCCACGGGTACCCAACTTTCTCTTGTTTCTTAGTTGCTTGTTTATTTAAAATCAAGTCTTGAAATCACAGAAAGTAGTTTGGTTCCCAGGGAAGTCAGAAAGGAAATCTGGGCCAGACGATTTCAATCTCCTGTAAGATTAAAAAGCAAATAAATGACACTTTAAAATGCATGTCTTTGTGAAAATTAGCTTAGAGAAATCACCATACAGATCTTAATTTCTGATTTTTATTTGAGTAATAACAGACACACAAAGATCAATATTTATTTCTGTCTATAAAAATGCTTCTCTGTTTGAGTATGTCTTTGGCCTACTGTGTGGCCTACTGCGATTGCTAAAGACATGGTTGGAAAAGACATCAAGTGTCACACTACTAAGGGAATCTGAATTTCATAGTGAAATTCTTCTAGAATTATTACTTTATTGTGCAAAGAAGTCAATTTACTGTGTATCTTAAGTTTTAATGAAGTATCAATGTGAAGTCAGAAAATGGATACTTTAGAGATTTGGGGATTTAGTTAGTAATATAGATGAGTAATTAAACATTAACTAACATTATTACTGGTGATAAACAGAAGGAAGACAATGGTAATAACTTAATCATTTAAAAGGGAAAATCACTTGTTATTAAAGGTGGATAGGAGTTACAATGTGGGTGACACTAGATCTGATGAGAATAAGGACAAGACTAAGCCAGGGAAATTAGCAAGCTAAAAATCATTGGGTCTAGAAAATCAGAATCCCTGTGTTTTAAATGGCCCACATTATATACATACCCATTTACTTAGGATCTCCAACAGGTCTTTCTGGTCTTATCTAGGTATTCTGTCACCATACATGCTTAGGAGACAAGCTTTGCAGCTGCTTTGTTGTGCCTGTTTCCATGACAACTAAAAGACACAGATGGAATGTATCCTTCAATCTCCTAAGAGACTTGACTTTGAGTGGTCTACCTACTGATTGACTTCAAAAATAGTTTACCTTGTACCTGTTTGTTTCATAAGTGACCAGATCTCTAAAACAAAACAAAACCAAAACAAACCCTCAGAGCCTTTGCAGTCATTTCCATTTCTGTCACTGCTTGACAGGGCTTGAAAATTTCATTTATCATATGCATCTGTTAAAGCTGTGTCAAAATTTCTTAAGAAAATTTTTTAGCAGTATATATTTATTGAACAAAGAAATTGGCTTCATAATACTGCTTCTGCTTAAATATATCACTTATTTTGACTGTATTCACCCTCCATTACTTTCTCCTATTTCTCTTCCACAAGTGCCCTTTCCTTGTTTAACAAACCCTTTATGATTACATATCCACAGTTCCAATACATAAAGTCTATAATTCAATGCACACCATAAATATTTTAATTTTTCACATATTATAGGTATGGTCAAAAAGTAGAATAAAAATATGTTGACTCACAAATCTAGTTCATCATTCAAAAGTGTTTAATCCCAGTAAACTTTAAATAATTTAAAAATGCACATAAGGGATATCTTTGTAACTCTTTAAACTATGTCTGTTTAGATAACTTAAAATGACACAATAAAAATATTTAAAAATAGGTCTCCTGGGTCCTGGAAAGAGCAGCTATCCCTGCTGCAGTGCTGAGGAAATCTATCCAGAGAGGTGAGTGGGTGCTCGCCTGGGCTCTCTGTCCCCGAAGAGAGCAAAGCCCCTCCCCACTCAGCTTCTGCAGCAGGGACTTCGGTGTTCCACAGGACCCCTCCCTGCCCCCACTGCTGCCACCCTTTTGTCTCCTGGGTCCTGGGAAGACCAGCTAGCCCTGTAGCACTGCTGAGGAGCTCTATCCAGAGAGTGCTGAGGAGTTCTATCCAGAGAGTGTTGAGGAGTCCTATCCAGAGAGTGTTGAGGAGTTCTATCCAGAAAGTGCAGAGGAGTTTCATCCAGAGAGGAGGAGATAGGCAGGCGCCAATGCAAGAATTCCTCCAACATCCTGAAAGGCAACATGACATCTCCAGAATCAAGGGAGCACAAAACTAGAAGAATTGAACACCCTACTCCAGAAGAAATAGAAGAAATCGACTCTAAGCGGATCTTTATGAAAATAATAGAGGAACTTAAAGAGGAGGTGAAAATCTGCTGTAAAGAAATGGAAGATAAGTATAACAAAAAGATTGAGGAACTGAGTAAAGAAATGGAAGAGAAATATACCAAAAAGTTTGAAGAAATGAGTAAATCCGTAAATGAAATTCTGGGAAACCAAGAAAAAACAATCGAACAGGTAATGGAAACAGTTCAAGATTTGAAAACTGAAATGGAGTCAATGAAGAAATAACAAACAGAGGGCCGGCTGGATATGGAAAATCTAGGTAAACGAAGAGAGACTTCAGAAACAAGCATAACCAACAGAATACAAGAGATAGAAGAAAGAATCTTAAACTCTGAAGACACCATAGAGAAATTAAATGCTCTTACTAAAGAAAACAGCAAATCCAACAAATTCTCATCACAAAACATTCAGGAAATGTGGGACACAATAAAAAAAACCAAATCTAAGGATAATTGGGGTAGAAGAAGGAGAAGAATTGCAGATCAAAGGTCCAGAAAATATATTCAACAAAATTATAGAAAAAAACTTCCCCAACCTAAAGAACGATATTCCTATGAAGGTTCAAGAAGCATACAGAACACTGAATAGACTGGATCAAAAAAAAATCCCCTCGCCATATAATAATCAAAACACAAAGCATTCAGATTAAAGAAAGAATATTAAGAGCTGCAAAGGAAAAAGGTCAAGTAACTTATAAAGGTAAACCTATCAGGCTTACACCGGATTTCTGTATGGAAACCATGAAAGCCAGAAGATACTGGATAGAGGTACTGCAGAAACAAAGGGACCATGGATGCAGGTCCAGACTACTATAACCAGCCAAGCTATCATTCACTATCAACGGAGAAAACAAAATATTACAGGATAAGAACAAATTTAAACAATACGTAGCTACAAATCCAGCCTTACAGAAAGTATTAGAAGGCAAATCACAACCCAAGGATTCCAACATTCCCAACACCGCCTACAATAACTTAGACATCTAGTGACCCTTCACAAGCACAACTCAAAGAAGGGAAAAACATACACTCTACTACCCCCCAAAAAAGAATAATAATAATAAACGGAGTCAACAATCACTGGTCATTAATATCACTTAATATCAATGGACTCAATTCACCTATAAAAAGGGACAGACTTAGAGACTGGATACGAAAACAGAATCCAACATTCTGCTGTTTACAAGAAACACACCTCAGCCACAAAGACAGACATTTACTCAGAGTAAAGGGCTGGGAAAAGGTTTTCCAAGCAAATGGACCTAAGAAACAAGTGGGTGTGGCCATTCTAATATCTAACAAAATTGACTTCAAACTAAAATCTATCAGAAGAGATAGAGATGGACATTTCATACTCATAACAGGAACAATTCATCAGGAGGAAGTCTCAATCCTGAATATCTACGCCCCTAATATAAAGGCCCCCACTTATGTAAAAGAAACACTTCTAGAACTCAAGGCAGTCATCAAACCACACACACTAATAGTAGGAGACTTCAACACACCTCTCTCACCAAGGACACATCAATCAGACAGAAACCAAACAGAGAAATAACAGAATTATTGGAGGTATTGAATCAAATGGACTTAACAGATATCTATAGAACATTCCACCCATATAGGAAAGAAAATACCTTCTTCTCTGCAGCCCATGGAACCTTCTCAAAAATTGTTCACATACTTGGTAACAAAGCAAACTTCCACAGATAAAAAATATTAGTAACCACTTCTGTCTTGTCAGACCACCATGGATTAAAGTTAGAATTCAACAACAATGCTACCCCCAGGAAGCCAACAAACTCATGGAAGTTGAACAGTCAACTACTAAATCACCCCTGGGTCAAGGAAGAAATAAAGAAAGAAATTAAAGACTTCCTTGAATTTAATGAAAATAAAGACACAACATACTCAAACCTATGGGACACTATGAAAGCAGTGCTAAGAGGAAAGTTCATAGCACTAAGTGCCCAATTAAAGAAAACGGAGAAAGCACACATTGGAGACTTAACAGCACACTTGAAAGCTCTAGAAAAAAAAGAAGCTGATTCACCCAGGAGGAGTAGAAGACTGGAAATAATCAAACTGAGGGCTGAAATCAACAAAATAGAAACACAGAAAACAATCCAAAGAATCAATGAAACAAAAAGCTGGTTCTTGGAGAAAATCAACAAGATTGACAAACCCCTATCCAAACTAACCAAACGGCAGAGAGAGAACATGCAAATTAATAAGATCAAAAATGAATAGGGGGACATAACCACAGACACAGAGGAAATTCAGAGAATCATTAGATCTTACTACGGAAGTTTATTTGCCACAAAGTTGGAAAATGTAAAAGAAATGGACATTTTTTTACCATATACCAAAGTTGAACCAAGACCAGGTGAACAATCTAAATAGACCTGTCAGTCGCTAAGAATCAGAAGATGTTATCAAAAATCTCCCTACCAGAAAAAGCCCAGGACCAGATGGTTTCAAAGCAGAATTCTACCAGAACTTCCAGGAAGAGCTAATACCTATACTCCTTAATGTATTCCACAATATAGAAACAGAAGAATCATTGCCTAACTCCTTTTATGAAGCTACAGTTACCCTGATACCAAAACCACACAAAGACACAACCAAGAAAGAGAATTACAGGCCAATCTCACTCATGAACATCGACGCAAAAATCTCAATAAAATCCTGGCAAACCGAATCCAAGAACACATTAGAAAAATTATCCATTATGATCAAGTAGGCTTCATCCCAGAGATGCAGGGCTGGTTCAACTTACGCAAATCTACCAATGTAATCCATCATATAAATAAACTGAAAGAAAAAACCCATATGATCATTTCATTGGATGCTGAAAAACCATTTGACAAAATTCAACACCCATTTATGATAAAGGTGTTGGAGAGACTGGGGATACAGTGATCATACCTAAATATAATAAAGGCAATATAAAGCAAGCCGACAGCTAACATCAAATTGAATGGAGAGAAACTCAAAGCCTTTCCACTAAAATCAGGAACATGACAAGGCTGTCCACTCTCTCCATACCTCTTCAATATAATGCTTGAAGTTCTAGCAATAGCAATAAGACAACATAAGGAGATCAAGGGGATTCGAATTGGAAAGGATGAAGTTAAACTTTCCTTATTTGCTGACGATATGATAGTGTACATAAGCAACCCCAAAATCTCTACCAAAGAACTCCTACAGCTGATAAACATCTTTAGTAATGTGGCAGGATACAAGATCAACTCCAAAAAAATCAATTGCCCTCCTATACACAAAGGATAAAGAAGCAGAGAGGGAAATCAGAGAAACATCACCTTTTACGATAGCCACAAATAGCATAAAATATCTTGGGGTTACTCTAACCAAGGAAGTGAAAGACTCATTTGACAAGAACTTTAAGTCTTTGAAGAAAGAAATTGAGAAGGATACCAGAAAATGGAAAGACCTCCCCTGCTCTTGGATTGGGAGAATCAACATAGTAAAAATGACAATTCTACCAAAAGCAATCTGTAGATTCAATGCAATCCCCATCAAAATCCCATCAAACTTCTTCACAGACCTTGAGAGAACAATAATCAAGTTTATATGGCAAAACAAAAAACCCAGGATAGCCAAAACAATCTTATACAATAAAGGAACTTCTGGAGGTATAACCATCCCTGACTTCAAACTCTATTACAGAGCAACGGTATTGAAAACAGCTTGGTATTGGCATAACAACAGAGAAGTCGACCTATGGAATCGAATAGAAGACCTGGATACTAACCCACAAACCTATGAACACCTAATTTTCGAC